TTGAACTCAGGCCCTTATGCTTGCCAGGCAAGCACTTCTTCTACTGAGCTATCTCCCTGACCCCATGCTTCCCTTTCAATGTGGTTGCAGAACAAAGAATCAGAAATGTTGTGGGGTCCGTGGAACTCTAGGAGAAGCAGTGCTAAGTGACATAGGCAAAAAATGAGACGGGTGATTGCCTGTGGAAAGATAGGGGCAGAGATTGGTGGGGAGGGGGCCTAAGGAGTTCTCCCTGGAGAGGGTCGTGTCCTCTGTGTTGGTAAGGGTTTGGGGTATGCAGATGTCTGCAATGCTCAGTGTTCCTAAAATGGTACACTTAGATTTGCACAGCTCATTTTTTGGAAGGGTATATGTAAATTTCCCCTCAGATTAAAAAAAATAGCTTCCCATTCTCCAAATATTGTATAATCCAATTTTAATAATAATTAAATTTTCAACTCAGATTATAAAGAACCATATTTTCTCTTAATTTCAGACAATAACCTTATAATTTACTACTGTAACTATTATTTCAGGGCTGGCTGTGGTGGTGCTCACCTGCAACCCCAGCATTCGGGAGGCTGAGGGAGCCTCCTGAGGATTGCTGCAAATTCGAGGCCAGCCTAGATTGCACTGTGGCACCCTGTCTCAAAAAGATAAAAAAGAAAAAAGTCTTATGTCAGTAAGAAAAAGGGACTCTCTTCTATCCCCTGATTTAGCGATGAAAATAGCACGAATGTTCAGTTATTTTTAATGACTCCTGAAGAATTTTATAGTCAGCAAGGGCAGAGCTGTCTAATTACCTTGATAATTAATGAAAGAGCTGTAGCCCTTCTTGTTAGTCAGAACAGAGACGCCAACTTCGCCAGTGCAGAATGGCTAAGAATGAACCTCTGCCTGCCATTCATGGGCCTTATTTGCCTTGTTTGGGTGATAAGTATTTTCACAGTATGACTTAAGAAAAACTTGGAAAGTGACCAAAAATTTGCAAAACCTTTCAATGCAAATGCAGGCAGTTATCCATTAATTACCACTTCACACAGGTCGGCAAGCGTCTAGGACTCCTGTAAGCTCCACGGTCCAGGCAGGTGGTGGGTTTGACTTCTTCACCTTCTCAGAGTTCAGTGCAGCTGTGTGATTTGCTCTGATAATTATGAACTGAAGTGATGAATGTCATTCCCAGCAGGAAGCTCTAAGCTGAGGCTGCCAGATTTACCATGCAAAATTATAGCATCCTCAAATATTCAGATTTCAGATAAAATTGCTTTTTTTTTTCTAGTATAAATATATCTTATGCAACATTTGAGGACATTTATATGTTTTTTAAAAAAATTAAACGTCACTTACCTGAATCCAAATTGAATCGGACTTCCTGTATTTTACATGGTGGCCCTGGTGTAAGTGAGCTGTGCCTTTTATCTCATTCCTCATCTCCCAGTGCGGCACTGCAGTGACACTGCAATGGTGTCGCTGAGCCCCTCTGTCCCCAGCGAAACATTACAGTCAAGACCACTGCTGACCTACAGTCCCTGTAGCTTTTTCTTTTCTTTTTTTTTTTTCCCCCGGTGCCTGGGATTGAACTCAGGACCTCAGGACCTTGCACTTGCCAGGCAAGCGCTTATTCTCCTGAGCTATCTCCCCGGCCCCCTGTAGCATTTTTAATAAATGACTGAAAGTTGGTTTTGTGTCTCGCCTAGCACACCCAAGCCGACCTGCAACCCTGAGGCCTCAATGGCTCCTATAAGTCTGCTGCTCTCCTCCACAGCAGGGATTTTTTTTTTTTTTTTTTTTTTTTTTTTTTTTTTTTTGGCGGAACCAGGGATTGAACTCAGGTCCTTGCACTTGCCAGGGAAGCATTTATTCCACTGAGCCATCTCCCTAGCCCCCCCCCTTTTTTGGTCTTAATAATTAAATCACTGTTCTTCCTCTTTCTCCTTAAGGTGGACTTAGGCGAAGGCAAGATTTGCTTCTGCTGTGAAGAGCTGCAACCTTCCAAATGCACAGACAAAGAAAATGCCTTGAAACTCTTTCCAGTTCAGCCTTGTAGTGCTGTTCACCTTCTCCTTAAGGTATGCGGAGCCCCCCCAAATACACCATGACGCTCCCAGAGAAGGCAGAGCACCTTGAAGTAGCTCTGCCATCACAGCCATCGAATTAAGCTGCTGAAAGCAGGCTCTTTCACTAGGGACCCTGAGGCAGAATTGAGTGTAGGACCCCAACCGCAGATTACTGTGCATGCATGCGTGTGCATATGTGTGTTAAATTATGTATGGGCTGCTTTTGTGTTCAAGGACTCTTAAACTCACAAAAATTGAAAGGCGCCTCACAACTATAGGCATATAAGTGCACCCACTACAGGTGTATAAGTGCACCCAGGTACCCACAGGTGACACGTGCAGGTCTGTGTGCCCACACATACCCCACATAGCTTTCTGCAAAGCCTCCGAGTCCCCTGCCCACTTGCCATGTGCTGATGCTCAATCGTGAGTGTGAGCGAGTGGTCTGGACCTCCTGGATGCTGCCCTTTGGTGGCACATAGACTAAGAAGAGCTTGGCCAGGAAATAGCACAGAAATTCAAGAACTTTCATCTCTTGTTTAATTGGTGATAACTACAATAAGCAAAAGAAATTTTAAAAACAAGTTATTCTAGTTGGAAAGAAAGACAAAGCTGGCCTTTATTAGGGAATTGAGTAAAAATGGTGTCCTAACTCCAGGGCCATTCGCGGAGGGAGTGAACCCTGATGTATGAGCTCTTGGACTGTCTCTAATGGCTTTCTTGGCTTTGGGTTTATTTTCTGGGGGAAAGAAGGATCTCTGAGCAGAGAGAGACATATTCTTAGCTGCCAGCCCAGGGTTACATGGATATAAAAATGCCCTGCTTTCCTTGGCTTCTGCATATTTGCTGCCTGAGTCACCCGACTTTCTGAGCCAGGCTTCAGGTTGGGGAAAGCCCCACGCAGGAGCCAGGGCTGCAGCCTTGGCTGCTTTTGGCATCGCATTGCTGCTGTTCTGAGGCAAGTGTTTAGAGGAGAGAGGACCTGTTTACGCTCCGGCTGGCCTGGCCTCCGACGTGCCCCCTCAGTGGGCACTTGGGCGGCACTCCCAGATGCTCCTGAAATAGAAGTCAAGAAACTGGCCACGAATTACACACTGTGCTGTGCTCAGGGAGGCTGGAAATCGCTGTCTCTGGAGACAGGCAGTTTGGGGAGAAAGCCTCACTGCTCTGCTGGAAGGAGGTTTCTAGGAGGCATCCATAGGATTGCAAAGGGAAATACAGTGACCCCTGGGTTTCCATGGGGACTGGGCCCAGGACCCCATGGTGGCCTGAAATCTGTGAGGCCCAGGTCCTTTATATAAAATGATGTGTATTTGTGTATAACCTGGGTACTTTAAACCACCTCAGGATTAGTTACAATGCCTCATATAAATATTTACATCCTTGCTTGATTGAATCTGCAGAAGTATGACTCAAGGATACAGAGGGCAGACTTTATTGTAATTCAGGTCTTTCTAGGACAGAGATCTTCTAAGATAAGCTTTTAAAATTAAGAAGTTCACGTTCTTGTATGAAGGTGATAATAACAGCCAGCACTTATCCTGATCCTACATCGAAATCCTTTGCACGTATTTTCTTGGGAAACATGTCTCACTGGGACAGTGTGGCTCTTTAAGCACATTTTATGTTTCACTCTGGTCACCTGCCCTGACGTACCTGTGGCATCATTGCTTCTGTGTTCCAGAAAGTCCTCTTCGCCCTCTGTGCCTTGAACGCCCTGACCACCACTGTCTGCCTGGTGGCTGCCGCCCTTCGCTACCTCCAGATATTTGCCACCCGAAGGTCTTGCATCGTAAGTCTAGGCAAGGAAGTACAGTGACATGTGTCCTGCTGCGTGGAGGCCGAGCCGGCTGCGGCCCCCCGTGTGGGATGCCGTGAAGGCTGCTGGCTAACCCAAGTGCTGTTTCCTCAGGATGACTCCCAGATCTCTGTGGAAGAAGCGGAGGACCATGGACGCATCCCAGACCCCGATGACTTTGTGGCGCCGGTGCCGCCCCCATCTTACTTCGCCACGTTTTACTCGTGCACGCCCCGGATGAACCGCAGGTATCGGTCCTCAGGCCCCTCCAGCTCTCTGGGGTGCTCTGAGGTTTGAAGACTGAGCCCTGATGTTGCCCCCAAAGCTGAAGAAATTGTTGTCTTTCTCAAGGGTTTCAGTCCTCTCTGTGCCTTTCTGTGGCTCTGGATCTGTCTTTCTTTTGTCTGATAAACCAGATGAGTCCAAGGAATAGTCAAACCTTGACCTAAAGATATACTTTTTCAAGTTCAATTAGCTTCCTAGGGAAAACCAACACCCAGGGAGATAACGGCTGTAATTTGACATGACAGAGAGTCGCGGTTGCCCTGGCAACGCTCCCGGTTAGGCCAAATCGATGTTTTATTATAACACCATCAGCAAGTGCCAATGATCTTGAAATTCTTCCCAGCTGTGAAGAAAAGATTAAAAATTAATTGCAGTTTCCCAGATTTAGAAGGAAGACATCATACTTATGTTCCCTTTCCGATTCCAGTTCAAAATTTGGCTCTTTGTCAAATGTCAGGAATTATTTGTACAATGAAATGCCACGTGCATTTTCTGGTGGTTAGTGACTTATTTTATTTTATTTATTTTTTGTGGTGCTGGATTTGGAACTGGGGACCGTGCACTTGCCAGGCAGGTGCTTGTGCTGCTGAACTATCTCCCTGGCCTGGTTAGTGACTTTTAGAATTTAACTTCTCTGAAGAATGACTTCACTTATTCATTCAACAAATATACACTCAATCCTTGGCTGTTTACTCATTGCTAAGATGTAAAATGTATTAGAGCTGCTCCCTGTTGCCCGGTCGAGGAGCTCACAGTCTGCTTCATTTAAATGAATGTTGGAAGGATTGCAGTGCTACTCAAAAGAGTGATTTGGGGTATCCAGGTTGTGCTCAAACTTGTGACTTTAAAGCCACAGCCTTCAAGGATGCTGTGGTCACTTATGGTTTTGAATTTCTGTAGTATGTGTGGCGTTTTCAAGTAAATTTGTTGCCAGTCTCGGGCTTGGTGGAAAAACATTTTCAAATGCTCAGGGCAGCTCTGAGTGCCATTGAAACAGGTCTCACCCAGGCACTGTAATGATCCTTGTGTCTGAACCTCTTTCCTGCCCTTCCCTGCCCTGCCCATCTGACCAGGCACAAGCCGAGATGACCAGGAAGCCAGAAGAGTGTCAGCTGGGTAGAAAGTGTCCTGGTGAGGACTAAGGTTCAGCTCCCTCTGCCTCTGGAGGGGTGGATTGCTGGCTTTCTGAAGAAGTCATGGACAGGGTGACTTCCTCATCTCTTAGGAGAGAGTTTGTCTGTCTTCTCCCAACCTGCGTGCACCACAGGACGCCTTGCTAAACTGCGGCCAGGCCTCAGGCTGTTTGTGGAAGGCAGTGAAAATGCCTGCTGTTTTGTGGTTGGGACGCAGCTGTCTTCTCAGTAAGAATCCTGGCTCCCAGAGGTTGCTGGCAAGCACCCCGCTGACCTCTGAGGGCAATGGACAGATTCAGTTTCCCGCGGTGACAGAACGGGAAAGTGACTCATGTGGCTCAGGAGTAGCCCACATGTCCTGTCATCTTCCCCCCTTGCATTCTCCTCACTTTGCTTTCTCTTCTCTGTTCCTCTGTAGCAGTGCTTGTCAGTGGGGGTATCTCCACCCATTGTGGACCTCCAGACAGCTTTAGATTTGTTTCTCTGAGCCCCTGGTCAAATCTAGGTTGGGAGAAAACAGACAAACCCTTCTCAGGGACTTTGCCATTCAGAACGTTCCAGAAGAAGGGGGAGGTTTCTAGCAAAATTCCCTGTGAGAAAGAAAATATTGCCCAGTCTAAACTGTATGCCCATAATCTTAGATTCTGTCTCCAATGGCTCATTTTAAGAAATTCTACCAATATCAAAGGGCAGTCCACTTTGCTTTTTAAAATGACCAAATTAATATTCAGAAATATGTTCCATCACAGGTATTTTTAAATTTGACTGACTTTGCTATTTGCCTATATAAATCAACTCTATAGACACATACTCTTTTACTCTGGGTGGTGATTCTTTTGTACACAGGCCAGCAAATGTAGGCACAGATGTTTTTGTGCATTTCTTTAGCCAGGTATGTCAAGAGTTTGCACCACGAAAGCTGCCCATTTCTTGTAAGGTATTGCACCCTCTCAGAAGAGGTCTGTTTGTTACCCTCTATAAATAACAGCCACTTTACGCTTTCTTACCCCTTCATAAAGGGTTTCTTAAGTTACTGTCACAATCAGATTTCTGATGACAGCCAAGGCTTCTGTCCAAAGGCGAGTTACTTATTTTGTGAATTGAATTGTAAGCACAGGAGAGGACCAAGTGTCGCAACTTCACTACGTCAGGCTACTTCTCTCCCCGTTTTCGAAAACTTGAGTTAGGAATCAAAAAAGTAGCAGCTGTGCCAGCCTATGCGCAGGGACAGGGAGAGAGGAATGCAGTTTTCTGGTCAAAGACAGTTCCATTGCACCATTATCCTGCGTCATTCAAGGCCTGTGTGGCGAGGAATCAGAGCAGATTCTCCGCTTAAGTGTCCTGTGCTGAGTGTGACCCAGGGGAGGTTTCCTGGAGACTGTGATGGACCTGAGCCCAGGCTGTGGAGTCCCTTCTAGTGTGACCCTGGGCTGGTTTCTTAGGCATTTCCAGGCTTCCACTTCTTCATTTATCTATACCATCACTTGGCTGTAGGGAGGATTTGTATGAGATAGTGGACATTAAAACTTTTTCCTTAGAAGTAAAAGCTTAGGCCATTACTATATCAGAATAACACACAGAGTGAGTAGTTTATAAAAGGACACCCTTCTCTCCCCATTCTGGAAACTGGGAATTCCAGGATCTAGGGACTAAGTAGGCCTGGTCTCCAGTTCCAAGATGACACCCTGTTGCTGTGTTCTTCACGGAGAAGAAAGGTTATGTCCTTACGTAACAAAGAACAAAGTAGGGAGAACCCGTCCACACCAGCTCTGTCTACAGTGGCGTTCATTCAGTCACTGAAGGTTCTGCCACAGGATCGAAACAATTCTGCAGAGTCTTCACCTCAGGAAGATTGGGGCTTTTATGAATAGCTAGCAATTTTTCCCCTATTCTGTAGGTCGTCCTTTCACTCTATTGGTCACTTCCTTTGCCGTGCTGGTCTCTGCTGGTTCCCAATGAATTTTCAGGTTGTTTTCCCTAGATCTGTGAGGAATGTTATTGATATTTTGATTCAGAGTTGCATTAAATTGATGTATCAGTTTATAAAGAATGGCCACGTGACAGTGACCATTCTACCTATCCAAGAACAGGGGCTATTTCTCCATTTTTTGGTGTCTCATTCTCCTTTCTCAAATTCTATGTTTTTTATTGTAGAGGTCTTTCACTTCCTTGATTAGGTTAATTTATAAGTATTTAACTTTTTTTGTTACTACTATGAATGGTATTTTTCTAAATTGCTTTCTCAGTAAGATTGTTATCGGTGTACAGAAATACTATTGATTTTGTCTATTTTTTTTTTAATCCTGCTACATTGCTGAATTTGGCTCTTAAGTCTAGGAGTCTTCTGGTGGAATTTTTGGTCTTCTATGTAGAAGACTATGCCATCTGTAAGTAATGATAATTTGATTTTTTTCCCCTACATGTATCCCTTTTATTTCTTTCTCTTGCCTGATTGCTCTCAGTAATGTTTTGAGCATTATGTTGAGCAGAAGTGGTCCTAGCAGCCATCCTGATTTTAGAGAGAAATCTTTCAGTTTTTCTTCATTGAATATGACTGTGGCATGTTTCCATAAACATTTTTAATCAGATTGCTATAAGGTCCTTCTATCTGTATTTTACTCAAGAGCTTTTTATCATGAGAGGATGTTGGGTTTTGTCAGATGTTTTGTCATCTATTGAGGTAATAATGTGATTTTTGTCCTCTTTAAGTGATAGATTATATGTATTGATTTGCACAACTTGCATTGAATGATCCTTACAGTTCGCTGGGAAGAGCCTACTTTGTCGTGTGTGGTCTTTTTGATGATTACTCTGCCAGTATCATGTTAAGGATTTTTGAATCTACATTCATTAAAGAGATCAGCCTGTAGTTGTCTTTTTTTGGTTGGATCCTGGTCTAACTTTGGGATCGAGGTAATGTTAGCTTCTAGAAATGACCTTCAGAGGATGGTACTTTTGTTTCAATTTCATTACAGAGCTTGAGGAGTAGTGTTGGTTACTTTTTTCTCACAGTTGTGCCACGGTGTGCTTACTGTACGGAGTGCAAGTGTACAGTGGTATAGTGCTCAGTCAGAGCCCAGGATGTCCGGAGGCAAGAGGAAGAGCAGTGGTGATGAGGAGGGGACTGCTGGGAAGCGCCGAGCAATGTACATTATGTGTCTGTGTCCAAGGTGTGTAAGACTCACTTCGTTGGACTCACACGTGAACTCATCTTAAATTGTTTCTCCAGAATGGAACACATTCACAAGTCAGGGACTTACTGTGTAGTGAGCCTCTCTGTCTTCTCTGAGTAGTTTTGGCTTAGTCCACTTTGTCTACAAATAGGATAGCTACTCTTGCTTGTTTTGGGTTTCCGTTGTATGGAATATTATTTTTCCATCCTCTGACTTTCAGCCTATGAATTTCTTTTTGGGTAAAATGAGTTTTTTTGTACATAGACTACCAGTGAGCCTGTTTTCTTGATCCATTTTTCCAGTCCGTGTCTTTTGGTTGGGAAATTGAGACATCTACTTTGAGAGTTATTTTTGAGAGGTACTGAGTAATCTCGTCACTGCGTTATTTTCCGGTGGCTGATTCCCTTTCTTTCCCTTCCACTGCTCCCTCTTCCTAATGTGTTCATTCTTTTGGACCTCTTGGCCTTGTTGTCTTCATGGTCTCTTTCTAGGATGTCCTTGGGAAGTATTAGGAGTGCTGGTTTTGTTGGTGATGGATTTCTTTAGGGGCTGTTTATCGTGAAAATGTCTTTTCTGTCAATTTTAAAAGATGGCTTTGCAGGATATATCAGTCTGGGTTGGACATTTCCTTCTTAGGGTCTGAAACACTTCAAGTTCTCCAGGCTTTATGGTTTGTTTTGGCAAGTCTGCTATAATTCTAATGGGATTTATTTTACGAGTAATTCATTACTTTTCTCCAGCACTGTTTAAAATTCTGTTTTTCTTTTGGACTTCTGGGATCTTGATTATGTGCTGGAGAGGTTCTTTTCTGATTGTGGCTATGTGGGGTTCTATATTTTCACTCATCTGTATGTTAAATTATTTTCCAATATATGGAGAGCTTTCTGCTATTATTTCTGTTAACAAATTTCTTAACGGACTTTGTGCTGTCTTCTGCTTAATTCCATTTCACTCTTAGATCAGCATTACTTGTGCTATCTAGGAGCCGTTGGATCCATTTTTCATGTTCTTTTGTTTTGAAGGCATCTCTCAACAGTTAATTGTTCCAGCAGCCTTCTCTGTGAGTTCTGACAGTCTGCCCTGACATCATTTGCTTCTGTGCCCATACTTTCAGTAGAACTTTTAGTCTCCTGAATTTCTGCTTGGCGCCTTTTCGTGGACTTTAATTCTTTTCCATTCTGGATAGTCTTATTTTGCTTTGCTTTATTTAGCTCAAGTAGTTTTTATTTGTGTCTTGTGGAGACCTACTGTTCTGTTTATTAGGAGCTTTACCTGTTTATATCTTCTTTGAACTCATCAAGCACCTTATTCTGCTGTATTTTTATAAATCTCCTTTGTTATCCTTTCAAATAGTTGGACCATGTGGCTTTTTCTTTCTTTCCCCTTAATGCCCCATGGGTTGGATTTGGGGAAATTGAGTTTTTAATGGTAGGTTTTTTGTTTTGGGGTTTTTTTTTTTGCATTGTCTTCTCATGTTTTTGTTGTTTGTTTGTTTGTTATGCTGAGACTTGTGGGTTGATTACACTGAAAGACTTTTGTAATATGGATATCTCTTTAGTGTCTGCTTTCCCATGATGCACTTTGGATATGGTTAATAAGCCGCTGCCTCTGTCCTAGAAACCCCCTCACTTTGTTTATTTGTGAGGGGAAGCTTCATTGTACTTGGTAAGGGCTGGAAAGAGGCCTTATGGTGTCATGTTCATTAACGATTAAAGACTTGCCCTCTGTGGAATCTGTAGGTCTCCTTGACTAGAGTACTTGCATTGTTCATTGATCAGGAAAGTCTCTGGGTCCTAGAAGGATGTGGTTTTTGAAAGTCGTTCAGCATGTATAGATCTTAAACAGCTTCAGGGACAGGAGAGTTGGCATGAAAGCCAATGCCTAGCCTGTTATAAGGAGCAGTATCTCTTTCAGCATAACTTCACCAGGAACCCCGCCCAGGAGGCCCTTCCTGATGGGCTTCTCTACAGACTGAATGCTTGGCAAGTTGTGTACCCTACCTGTGAGCATTCCCAGCTTAGGGGAAACACTTAATTTCTTTTCTGCCCTTTCAGGTCAGGCCAGAAATGAAAGTTGTCATGTTATTGTTGTTGTTATCATTATTATTTAATGTATTTGGTTGTTACAGGGTCTCACTATGCAGCTTGGACTCAGAGTGATCGTCCTGTTTTCAGCCTCCCCAGAGGTGGGATTACAGGCCTATGCCACTACACCCAGACTCTGTGGCCTGCTCAGCATCTCTGGGGGCGGGGCTGGTACAGCTTGTGGTGCCAGGGATTGAACTGCTGTCCTGTGCTTGCCTAAGCAGACACTTTAGTCTGCTGAGTTATCTCGCCAGCCCTGAGAGTCTTATTTATTAAGGAAAAAGGAGGAGCGTATTCTCATTTTTCACTACAAATATAGAATTCTTATTCTTCTAAATACCAAAATTCCAAAAGTTTCACTGTTAGGAAGAAGGAATATCACATCTTTTCACACTTTTTTCCCTCCACCAACCACACTTTGGAAATAGATACAAGAAATAAAAGAAATCTATCCCTGCCCAAAGTAGTCCCCTGCATGTAACTTTCCATCAATCTTTTAAAATTTTTTCCATTTTGTAGTAGAGCAACTGTCTCAGCTGCTGTTCTCGCATTGCTGGGACAAATACCTGGCACTCAAAATGAAGGAAGGAAAGGTTTATTTAGCTCACAGTTACTGGAGGTTTCAGCCCATACACAGCTGGCTCCAAGGCAGAGTGGCACATGGCAGAGAGTGACCTTTCATGGAGGCGGCAAAGAGCAGAGAGCAAAATGGAGGGATAGCAGCAACAATGGCAACAGAGAGTAAGCCTGTCTCCCTTAAATTGTATTTAAGCTATGCACCCCAGGCTGGGAGTAGTACTCATATTCATAATCCCAGCAGCCCTCACACCCATAATCCCAGCAGCACTCACACCCATAATCCCAGCAGCACTCACACCCATAATTCCAGCAGCCCTCATACCCATAATCCCACTGGATCATGAGTTATCACAAACTCTAGAAGCCTACCCCATGATTGCATGAGGCTTTGGGGTGATAATTAGACACAAGCCATAACAGCAACTGTTAATCTAATTTTATCATTCTCTAATATTCCATACCCTGAGTGTTTTTTGAGTATTTTATTTATTTTTTGGTACCAGAGATCAGACTCGGGACCTTGCTCTTGGAATATTTTAAAATAATATCCTAAAATTTAGAATTCAGCTCTCTCTTTCTCTCTGTTTTTCTTTCACACACGTGTGTGTGTGTGTGTGTGTGTGTGTGCGCGCGCGCACGTGATTTCTCATGAACATTGACAGGAAAACTTAAGGACTTATGTTTTTTATTTTGCACTTCAAGTCCCTCACCCACGAGGCAAAACAGAAAACAAACGAAACTCCCAGTATTCAAGCAGCACTTCCAGGGAAAAAGCACTTACCTTTATTTGGTGAGAAGGCAGTTGGGAAAAAAAAAATCCATAATTCTTAGGTCATAGTACTTTTATTGGTAAATTTTTAAAATGTAGCCGGGCACAGTGTCATATGCTGGTAATCCCAGCACTCAGGAGCGTGCGGCAGGATGATCACTGTGAGGTTGAGGCCAGCCAGGGCTACACAGCAAGACCCTGTCTTATGAAACCAGAGACAAGTAATATGTAATGACTAAAGAATCCTAACCTATCCCCACTTAAAGAACAGAGGTGAGGATGGAAGAGGAGAGGATAAAGAGGGAAAGGGGGAGTCAGCAGTCACCATCATCAGAACTGCGAAAGAGGTTCCGGGAGAGATGGCAGCCCTGTTCTAGTTCAGTTCCCTGGAGAGGGGTAAATGTGTCTCTGAAGCTGAACTTCTCTATGCCCGCACTGTGTGTGTGAAAGTGAGAACCTGTAAATATGTCTTTGCCGAAACCTTGAGATGGTTACAGCTTTGCTTTGGGTGTGTTGTGCGTACTGCAAATGGATAGAAATCCTTTTGCCTGCTTGGCTGGACTTACGATGTTACCTTCAGGAGGAAACAGAATGCCGGCCTTACTCCTTTTCCCCTGGAATTATCCTCCAGCCAGCTTTCAAGAAAAAAGTTAGGGCTGGTGAGGTTGCTCAGCAGACTCAGTGCCTGCTTAGGCAAGCACAGGGACCGGGGTTCCATACCAGGCACCGCATGCCTCGCTGGCCCTGTTCTTGAGGCACACTGAGCTACCAAGTCTGGGTGTGATGGCGCATGCCTGTAACTCCAGTTCTGGGGAGGCTGAAAACAGGAGGATCACTATGAGTCCAAGCTGCATAGCAAGACCCTGTACTAAAAAAATAAAAAGTTAGCAGGGTCCACATCCTGCACAGGAATGGAGAGGCGTCCCGTCTGTTTGTTGAGTGTCCTCCTTAAGACATTGCTGTCACTCCTTCAGTACCTGTTTGTCTCTGAGCTGAGACATTGTTCACCTTTTGTTTTAAATTAACTGATACTTTTACTTATTTTATTTAACAAATAATGAGTTTAAATAATGAATCAGATATTAGGGGAATCAAGTGCATCTCAACGTGAGAGGTGACTGGGTCTTTTTTATCTTTAGCTGTTGGTTTTAGATTGAGGCTAGCAGGTAGCAGCCCAGTGGCAGGGCACTTCGCTAGCACGCTCGAGGCCCTGGTAGGGTCTCAGCACTACCAAAGCAAACATTCTACTTTGAATTGAGGTGAAATTCACACACAATGAAATGAGCTCTTTCGAAATGTATGATTTAATGGCATTTAGTAGATTGAGTTTTGTATAGCCACCCCCTCTTTCTAGTTCCAAAGCACTTCTGCCATCTCTAAGAAGATGCTGTGCCCATTAGATAGTCCGGCCCTGTCCCCGTCCCTGAAGGCCTTGGTGACCACCGATGCATCTCGAGCATTGAGGATTCTGTGCACACTGACTGGTGGGCTTTTCCTTTCAGGTACCTCACCCAAGGCAAAACAGAAAGCAAAGAAAACCCCCAGTACTTAAGCGCTGAGGCGCTCCAGGCAGCCCATCGGGGAGCAGTGTAGGTTGTTGTCCCTTCTGCCTGGTGACTGTGGCATGGGCTGAGGGGTTTTCTCCACAGTCAGAGTGAAGGGTGCCCAGCTGCAGGCCAAGGACCGGTGTGTGCGATGTTTTTTCTGATGCTAAGATGCTCTTTCTAGGATGGTTGGTCCTGACGTCATTCCGCTGCCACACATCTATGGAGCCCGCATCAAAGGCGTGGAAGTGTTCTGTCCTCTGGACCCGCCGCCACCGTATGAGGCTGTGGTGAGCCAGGTGGATCAAGAGCAGGTACTGTCCAGAGCGCCTCTCTTCAGTACGTTGACTGCAGGCAGGAAGCGGGACACTTTGCAGAGAACGGCGGAGAGACTGTGTGCTGCACATCACTCTAAAGAGCTTGCTGGGAGCCTGGGAGCTGTGAGTTGAACAGGAACAAAACACACCCTTTCTTTCCTGTGATGCAGGGCTCTTCACGCCAAGCTCCAGAGGCGTCAGAAGCGGCCGCTAGCCCCTCGGAGCCAGTCTGTACACAGGTGACTCAAGGTAAGAGAGGTATTACTGCTGCTCAGAGTCAAGGTGCTGTAGGTTAAGATGTCGTAGACTACTCATCCGCCTGGCATCTTCCTGGAAGCCAGATGTTCATGGAGCAAATGGTTCTGCTTATTTCCTTTTTTCAGGTGCAAAAACTGCTTGCAAATGGGAGATAATATGTGAACAGGAAAGGTAGACCTAGATTCTTCTGTAAATAATCGGACTAGCCTCAGGGACCTGTGAACTAGATTAGAGTTCAACTTGGCCCTCCTGTGTTTCCCACTCTACAATTTTCTTTCTCCTGTAAAGGAAAGATGTTTCATTTATCGCAGAGTGGTTCGCTGTGGGGTGACACTGTATTATTTATAATCTAGGACCTGGGCTTTCCACTTTTAACATTGAGTGAATTTTGATGCTCGGTCCTGCAGTAAATCCGAGAGTCACTTTACGTCTGTCTCTGTGATTTAAGAACATCGTGGCTATCGCTCTCTCTTTGGGGAGGTTTTAAATGACCTAGAGAATCATCCACGAGGACAAAATTGCAAATGGTTAATGAATAATGGATCAACTTTTAGCTATTGGAGATGGATGTAATTTTTCATCAGTAGCATTTGGAGTAAGTTTCTGTTCTTCTGTTCTTCCTTTTTTGTTTCTTTTTAAAAAATTCTGATCCTGGGGATTTAAGCCAGGGTCTCATACATGCTCAATACACTGTACTGGTGTGCCCCTCCTTAGCCCCACCACAACCTATATTAAGGACAATTCTTAATTGTCCTTAATAAAATTTTTGAAAATATTTTATTTTTTATCACATATATTACATACTCAAATTTTTTATCTTTCACAGCACATTAACAAAATGAGGCAGACTACCACTACCAAAGATGTTACAGAGTGCACACGATGCTGACAGGACAACAATTAGGAAGTAGTTTTCTTTAGGAAACAAGTGTACTAAAAACATGGGAATAGAAGTTATTTAAAGTATCCAAGACATATTAAATGCATGACTGTAATTCCAAATTGCCATTTAATATGCTTTGTAAGGTATAAAACTAACCCCTACCTATGGAATGTTAAGCTGACACTCAAGACAGTCAAAGCCTGCTATAATTCAATATCCCACTCTTTCTGGTTGTACCAAAAAATAAACAACCAGAAAATGATTTTACCTCTAAAAAAAATCATTTACACTTAAAAAATGCAATGAGGCGAGATTCCCTCCTTTTTAAAAATGTTTCTAGAGCTACTAAAACCTTGCATTTACAAAATAGTTGATAAAAATATTCTTCTGGATTGTACCAGAAGGGCGACAGGGAACACTGATAAGACGTGATGTGTGATTGATCAGACTCGGCTTCTTTGTCTTCTGCTTCATCAGAAGCTGCACTCTCCTCATTTTTATTTATTTATTTATTTATT